CTCATGCCACTGAGCCATAGGGGATGGTTACGAATCGCCATGATTGAATTTATACTGCGATAGATTGTGGCTCATCCTCCATTGTCATGCATCCTACGAATGGGCAGCGAGAGGAGCTAGCCCCAAGTGCGACGACTATCTTTGCAAGTAACCACCGATCGAGGCGGCATGTAAGTTGCTACGGCGATTAATGATTATTGGGGAGTAGTAGGGTGAGCTCATTGTGTTTTCGAGGAGCCACGCTGATGCTAGACTCTGCCAAACAGCCACCGCATCCCATTGGGAATCGTCAGCAGCGCGCATTCGATCCGCCCAGTAAGGAGCCAGAGCCTACGACTCTACCTTTGAATTAGCGGTTAAGTGCACTGATCCATGAGGGAGGGAAGGAAGGCGCTGCCTTGGTCAAGCAATTAGATATGATCTACTGCGCATACGCACTCCTCACCGTTAAACGCGTTGTTAGTATGTAAGGGGCAGAGATGGACCTTAGGTGCACGCTCCTCTAGCCTATTAGCCCCCGCCGTCCGATAAGGTTAGAAGCTGACGTGTACAATTACGTATGCAGAGTTGTGTTAGGGGAGAATTGGATTGGTTTCACTGGACTTGCCATAATAACGGAAACCTTGGAAACCAATGCAGCCACATTAGGAAAGAACCGTAACAACTTTCATTCCAGTAGGAGCTGATGCCCCTTGAAGCGCTTAGCCTGGCCCAAAAGGCATCTGCTTTTGTGTGTGACCCGAACCAGGTCTTACGGGCAAAATCGATTGCAGCACTTATTAGGCAAAGCTACCAATGCAGCATCACAGCCTGGCATATCATCGGTCATCTTATTCCCCAGGTCTACCCGCTCTGAAACGTCAGTACGATTACACACATTGCCAGTTCCCGCCAACCATAATCAATCGGCGACTCGGCCTCACCTTCAGCTTACAGTATGCATGGGGACGCACGCATTCCTATCAAGAGAATCCCGTTTAGCCAGCTGACACTTATGTGTTATCACGCGTCTTAAGTGGGTACCCTAAGCGATACGATCCCATCGGTCTTGCACCACGCGAACGTCAAACAGACGAGAGCATACTGAAGTAATTCATGGATGCTAAAGACCGTAAAACTCTAAAAGACGTGAGCCGATCCGTGTAGCGGATAGGCGACACATCAGGTTAGATGGACGGGCAGTTAGCACATTGGATCGTCAATCGGGAGTTATGTAAAATGTGATCCACGTGATCTCAAGGACACAGTAGGTCTAAGAGCTATACCCAAGGGAGATCGACGGTGGGTCAACGGAGTTGGTTCGGAAAGCAGCAAGGCACCTGACTGCCTTGTCGCCTACCTAGTGGTCGTCACCAAACTTTTTCCACAGACGGCCGGCAAACTGAGAGAAAGACAACTGCTAATGCGGGCCGCATCAGTATCCGGCACAATATTTGCGAAGCAGAACGAAAACGATATATATATATATATATATATATATATATATATATATATATATATATATATCACTTTAATCGTGACTTCTACTTTCTACAAACTTGACACTACTCACAAACATCCCCAATTAACCTACCATTGCCCATTGGACATCCGCAGGACAGGTACTTCGGTCCATTGGGAAGTGACAGGCGAGTGAGCCAATCTGCGACACCAGGACAGGTACTGTGAGCGCATTGGCAATACGTCGCGCACCAAGCAGAAGACAGGTATTAAAATTTGCGCACCTAATCGGCAGCCCTCGGTAGCTCAGTGGTAGAGCAGCGGACCGGAAATTCGTGGGACCGGGGTTCGATTCCCCGTCGAGGCATATTATTGTGCGTGAATTTTAATCGTGACTTCTACTTTCTACAAACTTGACACTACTCACAAACATCCCCAATTAACAATGAACAATGAACAATGAACAATGAATTTATACGGGTTAAGAAGCGTTGCTTTACAAGCCCCGTTGGATAGTTGGTGGGGATATCAACATAATAATTATGATGAAAAGGATAGTAAAATAGTTAACACTTTAAATACGAAAATAAGGACTTATCGTTTGCTTCGCTGCAGTCCTGCGATCCACTTAGATTCACAACACCCACAGTTAACAACAAATAATTCCAGGGTAAACTCCAGGTGTAGGATGGAGACGTAGTGTTAAGTAACAAAGTGTAAGTGGATGAGTGCATCGTCCAACCGTCTTTTAAATATTGTTAGTGTCGGTGCAGAGACGACCGATTCTGGGAGAGCATTCCACGGGTGACAGACACGGATGGAAAAGAAATTTCTGCGGCACTCCAGACGACTGTATTGTTCTGCGAGTTTTAATGAGTGGCCCCTCAGGTTTGTATTGCTGCTGAGTTGCAGTAAAGGGCGGCACACATGATGTGGGTCTCGCAGAATCAAGTATGTCATAATCAGGTCGCCTCGTAGCCTGCGATAGCTTCCACTGAACAATCCTAGTCGTCGCAGCCTCTCCTGGTAGGACAGATTGCGCATTCCAGTTACGTTCTTAGATGCGCGGCGTTGAGGCTGCTCCAGTGCATTAAGGTCGTGTTTCAGCCATGGATGCCAGGCTTGAATTGCGTATTCGACATGGGGGCGAACATACGCACTGAGCATTTGTCGAAATATGGAGCTGTTTATTTGTCCAAACGCCCGCCTCAACAGCCCAACGTGTTGATTCCCGGTCTTCGAGGCCTTTTCGGATTGCCTGGAGCAACCCAAGTCATCTTGAACCAGGACACCCAAGTCACGTTCGAGAGTTGATTTTTGCAGTACATCCGTTCCGAGTCGGTATGACATCCGCAGGACAGGCACTTCGGTCCATTGGGAAGTGACAGGCGAGTGAGCCAATCTGCGACACCAGGACAGGTACTGTGAGCGCATTGGCAATACGTCGCGCACCAAGCAGAAGACAGGTATTAAAATTTGCGCACCTAATCGGCAGCCCTCATGTCTCGTGAATGCTCTTCCCTGTTGGGCTACACCGACTTACACTTAAACTGGATCTGGATACAACGTATCACCCTATTTGATTGGCTCGGTTAGGTAATTCAGCTACATATTCTGTGTTGGTTTTGCGCCTTTACTTTTTTCCAATTCTGTGTTGGTTGTTTGATATCCCCGGTGTGTCTGCGCTTGATGTGAATGTCGTCAAGATGCCTACCTGTCTATTACCCACCACCTCGTCTATACTGGCTCTAGATGACTGTGAATCGTTCCTGGAGGAGACGGAGTGCAGGATACTTGTGTCTGTGTTAGGCCCAAAGAGTGGTTCTGTGCATCGTGTGGAGCGGACTACGGTCCAGCAACCGCCTTATGTAGGTCTGGTTAGCATGATTCCCAACTTAGATTAACAGGAATGCTGCTGCTGTGCATATTGAAGGAGTGTGGACCGACTCCGTTGATGATACATGGCTCCCATCCAAATACCTCCTGGTCTTATTCCTTCGGGTTTACATCGGATATGGGGTGTGTGGATGGAGCTGTGGGTGATGCAGCGCAAGCCTATGTAGGCATGCGCGTCCTGTGGCTGTCCTATGGAGGCTGCGGTGATAGGCAACTCCGGATCCGGATGCCGCCAAACATCTATATATGTAAGCAGCAAAGCGCTTAGAAGGCTTGAGTAAAGCGTTTCCGATGGAGTCAAAGCAAAGACAAACAATGGTGGAATTGGATACCGAGACTATTTACATGCAATTAGCCATAATGAAATGTACGAACCTCAAAATTTGTGCTCTCAGTACAATTGCCTATCAACAAATTGCATTGTTTCAAGTCGCCAGCAAATATGGCCTCAATGATTAACGACGTCTCAATACGCCGCGTTTTATAGGACACGCAGAGCAAAGGAACTGACCAAGCGTAAATTGTGGCACCGGGGTACAAGTTTAACGGAAACACAGCAAGGTGAGCGGATAAATGGGTTTCATGCGTGATCACCCACATCAATGTCCTAACGTTGTGAGGCCACCGATACTACGATGGTACGGGGTCACATAAGCTGGCTCAGGCGAATGTCCAAACAATGAAAGGTCACCGACAGTAACACACGCAACACGTAACACAACTTCTCATGTGACATATGTTGTGACCATTGGTCTAAAGCAATAAAAGTGTTCAGGTTTTAGAACCTCCCCCCCCCCGCCCGATTAAAATGCGAGGCAGAAAACTGGGCTTGGTTTATTCGGTATGCGAAACTAGGCTGTGGCTCTAATCTTTGGAGTCACGCGTCCAGCCAGCATTATGTCCATGCGCCTGTTATAGAGACGTGTTCAGCTCATTCTGCACGCAGCGGAGAATGGACACAGTTGCCAGAATAGTTGTTGCCAGGATCTCTAGCCGAGTGTGCTGTAGGCGCATGGCAGACTCGACGACGTTGTAGAACAAACTTAATCATGATGGGGACCTGCAACAGCGGGCTCCTCATGGATATTGGCCGATGCAGATTAAAGGGGAGTTTCGAAGTCAAACAGCAAAATGGCTTGTACAATCGAAGAAGGCTCAGTCTGCAAATTCTCCACCCACGATGCAACAGTGCAGTGTTTGGATGATAGGAAAGCAATCGATCCTTGTGTGGTTGCATAAAAATCCTGGATGATCATTCTTCTGAGTTCAAGAGGTCAGAAGTTTTGTTCAGAACCCCATGATTGGCTATAATAGTATGCATTCGAGGGACAACTTCGTTCTGCACGCATCCTAAAAACCAAGGATGTTCATTGCAGTCAAATGTGTAGTAGACGTGTACAAAGCAGCCACTCGACGTTGGGTCTGTTGACCTGAGTCCAGATGGATCGGTACTTACGGAACTCTACTGCTACTAAACTGTTTACTGTTTGTATGAACGTTATAAAATTCCGTGGCAAGGGCAGAAGTTCATTCTAAAGCGCTTACATGTACAAAGATATCTAAAACTACATACACGCATCTAATCGAGATGGAGTGGGTGGTATCAAGGTGAAAAAGTGGTTTACGCAATGTTCGATAACACACGGATATAACAAGTGACTCACTTGTTGATATTCAGCCGCATTGTGAATGTGAACTTGGGTCAACCGGGACAACTGGGTCACGTAATTCCAACAGCTCTGCACATTATCGCCGAGATCCTGTTATGAGGAAAATATCGGGACTCAAGCACATAGGAAAGTAAACAGAGATGACGGGAAAGCCGAAGAAACACAAAAAACAGTCGTTGGCTCACCTTCTTCACATGGACGGATTCAGGAAGCGCTTTTGGACTGCTCAATTGAACAGATGTCTCGGTGACATTTTCAGTGAGGACCTAGAGAAAGCGGCAGGGTACGGCCGCTGGTTTGAACCGAATCAAAAACGTACCGTAAATGACCGCTCCAGCTGAGAGATCGTCTCCAGATACCGTAACGCAGCAGCATTCCCTTTGACGTCGTTCTGCAGGTAAGGTTAGATGTCGAAACGAAGAATACAACTTACCCGAACATCTAGGGCTCGCTTGTGTAATCCGGTTTTCTGTTGGTTCTAAACGATTTCGAAGGTGATCATGTGAAGTAGAAAGAACTTACTAGTCTTTTGAGTTCCTCTTCTAAGTGTTTCACCTGTCGGAGCAGGTCATCTTGTTGTATGCGTTCGGTGCCCAGGGCTAATTGGTTCACTCCAATACATACAGCCCTCGCTTTGTGCTGAAAGGTAAAGGGAGGCTTCGTGTAATGGGTTAACTCCAATGGCTTGTAGAGAACAGTCTATGAGGAAATCAGATAAACTTCATGCGAGTGTCGTCTCTGCTCACTGTCCGGCGACGGAGGGTTGTACCGCTGCCTCCGCACCGGAAACACGCTTCAGACGACATGACAATTAAGCAAGACCACGCATCGGACTACCTACCCAAGGTCAACTCTGATCACGTGACTGCTTGCGGCGCACGTCTAACTGCGAGGGCAAGTGCGATGTGAGCGACTCACCATAGGCGGGTAGGGCAACGCGGTGTGCTCGCGTTAACGCCTAGGGGTGTCCGCCACAGGTCCGGCGCCAACGGCCATTCGATGCTTGCCTGCAAATGTCAGGGAACATGACATCGGACTGGCTGTCAGGTGTTTCTCCTAACCCACGACCAAATTCGCACTTGCTTGTAGAGAAGAGGTAAAGGTGGCTGTAATCAAGACTCGGGCATGGAGTGTGGCGACTCCCGTCAGGTGTCCTAAGACTACACCACCGCGTCCTTCGGGAAACCGTCCTCACAGTGATTAAGGACGCACTGTTGATTTGTCTGGAGTACCCGTTACATGGTTCGATTACCACATGCAGATACACCCCCGTTTAATTAGGTAGAAAAATTGCATTCAAAAATGGATGGCGGTTTAAAGTGAGAGAACGTATTACAATCCGTCCACAAAGTAACTACTTTAACGGATTTCAATAACGGTGCGATCTTGTCTCTCCTCTGTTAGAGAACTACGCTCCACATAACCGTAATTGAAGTTGTCCTTTAGAGATCGTCGTCCGGGCACCCTTTCAGAATTTGTTGAAAGTGGTCTACGCTCCGAGTAGTCTTGAGAACATAGCAAAAGCGCCACTGTACATCTTCAGCAACAGGCTTCACTGTTGCCTTATTACGTTTGTGCGAATTTTGTCATCCTGGCAGCTAACTGTGGGAGCCCCGGTACAGCAGCAGCCTTGTTTGTTACCTGGATAGGCGTATGATGGCTGCCAATTTCTGTAGTCTTGACGAACGGAAACCGGCATGGACACTAACCAGTAGTCATGGTTATAATTTGTAGAATTTATCACCCACGACTCGGGGTCAAAGGAACCCCAGTAATTCCGAATCCGCTCTACTAATTCAGGCAGACGGCAATTATCACGGGACATCACGGTGTGTGGAGGTCGTTGCGTGTGGAAGGGAACATGACTAATTAGAAAGACTACAGCGATTGTGTGGCATGGTAAAGCCAATTAGGGATGTTTGCTTAAGCCGGTCACTATATTAAACGCAAAACCACCACTCAAATATCTAATTACAGAGGAATAGTAGGGGGGGAAGTTGAATGGTATAGGTAGAAATTCGTCACATCTAGACTCACTCAGATGGCCATCACACGCCCGGAAAAGCGCTGTACGCGCGTTTCATCCTTTCGGGAATCGTCAGCAGTGCGCATTCCATCGGACCCTGGGTAGTGCTCGAACCTGCAACTCGATTGTTGCCAGTATAGATGTGACGAATTTCTACCTATATCATCTATGTGTTAAGTTTATACAAAGCTTCATTATTGTTTAACGAACCCCAATATCCTTCCATTTTAAAGTTGTTTCAGTTAAGCCATTTGAATTGTTTAATAATTCTTTCCAAAAGGATTATGACCTATCCCTTCTCACGACAGTATTGGGGATTTCCAGTGCTCTGTGCCACTATATTGAACTTTTCGGTTTCAGTTTATGTAACGTGTGATTTGTCTTACAGGTGCTTATGATTCCTTGTTAACCTAGTCAATCCTCAGCTCACACGTCGTCAGTAGAAAAAGCTACATGCTACGTCTGTTATTTCTTGTTTGAATGAATGTACCGGGTCTAGCGCTGTTTACAGGACAAGAAGTTTGATGTGCTACAAACCCTCCCACAATATCATTTACATAACTAAAAAATTCGCGTCATCCCGATTTGCCACTGTCTAGTTGACAGCTGGGCGAGAAAGCTGAGTGCCAACGCTCGAGCGTTTGCCACCTATCGTGTGTGGGAAAGTCCCTGCGAGCGTGTTACCAGGACCAAGCCGAAAGCTGTTGAGATCGCGCGTCAGACACCAGGCGTGTTGCCAAGGCCTGACCGGAAGCTGATGAAATCGCGCGTCAGACATCACGTGCGTTGCCATGCGCCGGGTAGGCGAGTGCCCGAGCAACACGGTGAACTGGACAGATGCAGCGGACAAGTAGGTATGGAGCGTGGGCTTAGAGCAAAATCTGCCTGATAACACCGACATATAAATATGAGCGTTCTCTTCCCTACTACAACTGGTCTGCTGAGTATTCTTCTGTCTTCGTTCCGGTCGGGTTTGCCAAGGCGTCAATCAGAGCACGCGTGGGGGCGCAGATATAGCAACAGGCGTGAATCAACCAGTCGACAGCGAGCAGGGCACGTCCTAACATTAGTCAGTTATGGTTGGCGGCATCCGGTTTCGGATTTGCCTGTCACTGTGGCCAGCCACAAGACGCCTGCGCCTACAGAGGGACCACATATGGCTTGCGCTGCACCCCCCACAGCTCCATCCACACACCCCATATCCAGTGTAGACCCGAAGGAATAAGACCGGGAGACATGTGGATGGGAGCCACGTTTCACCAACGGAGCCGGCCCACACTGCTTCACAGGCAACCACAAGCACACTGTATTTGGGAAGTCAGTCAGTTATACGCCCCATTGAACTGACAGTACACATCTGCTTAGGTGTGCTATCCAATGTAATGACGAGTCGCTGTGCGCGACGTTACAAAAAGGCACGTGAGTTTATGCGGACTGATGGGAACGTAATGCCACCAAAGATGTCCTGATGTACACCACCACATGGATCACTGAAGACGGTGAGCACGTGCAAAGGCATAAACTAAGGTAACCCACTGTGAAAGTGCTGTGCTACATCACGTGGATTTGACACATTGACACAATCGTTAGTGCACAGCTTCTTTGGCGTCCCATACGGATATGCCGCCAGTGTGGATAGATTTAGGCCTTTGGGAGCCTGTGTAGTGTAGTTAGGGCCATTTACCCTCATCAAATGACTTTAGAGTCACGTGACAAAGTGCATGTGTTATAGCGAATGCCACTGGTCGTGCAGTAGTTTCAAGTTCAGTGTGAAGTGCAGATTACGCCATCGTATAAAAATCTTCCATTGAGTTTTGTGCATTTCATTCAAGAGATGACTTAATTTCATGTAAATATTATGGCGCAATGAGGTGGGATACGGTTGCATGTCCGAAGAATCTTGAGCCACTGGTTCAGGTAAACTAGCAGCAATTAACAAGACTCGAATAGTGATCGAAGCGTTCTCTTCATCTCTATGAACTGTAGCGCGGCTGCGTATGTTTGGTTTGCTGCGAGCGACAGCGGCTGGAAAGAGATGTCTGTCTTAAAAGGGACCAAACGGAAGAGTTCGTTTTCCAATCCAGCTAGCAGCATTTTAGACTAAGCACGGACTCCAGAGTACACTGTGCTAAACGTGGTAGAGCGAGTTTTGCCCTTTGATTATGGGTTAAATGACTTAGCAACTGGATCAGCGCCTACCCACTGTGTGTTGGGCAGCTTGATCTACAGAAAATTCACCTCGGGGAACCCACCTCGGTGACCCAATTCGTCTGTAGAACATCGTGGAGGTGGGTAGTCCTTGAAGTTGGGAATAGTGACGAACCCAGTCAGGTGTCAAATTCGCAAATTGCTCACCCCCCCTTCGCATGTATGCCAAGCTAGTTGGTAAGGAAATATGAACGCCAATGCGGTGACAACAATCTAATGCAACCGAAACAGCGGCGCACCGCAAGTGTATCGCATTTATCCTGTTTTCAAGCATTGATTCGTTGGCAGAGATCGGACAACAATCGGTGTATACATAACAATGGTTCGAACATACTGGGAAAAACATAGGACGAATAAACTAGCCAGCGCCACACAAAACGACCTTCGCGCTTTCCTATTCGCCTGCCCTGAACCACACGTTATTTGGGGTTTCCGTGATCACATCTGTCCAATCGAAGTGTTCACAGTTATGTTGCTTGTAGGTACTGCCTCTAATTGGCCGCGTATAGGTTGTCTGCTACAAGCGAATCAGGTGCTGAATACGATGCGCATACCTGGCACCGAGTCGATCCATCAATCTTCCCCATAATTAGAGCCTAACATCGGACAAGGAGTTCGATTGCGACATTTTGCGTCTGTGTGCAAGTGCACATGTACACACTAGTCACACAAGATGGTGGATGTTCTTCCCCAGTGGGTCAAATATATCCAAAATGGAAGTGTCCCAGCTGCCTCCAATGCGCTGCGTGACGATTCAACAAAGAACGTGTGGAGGACTTCACCCTTATTACTTGGCCTAAACAGGTCAACCAAACGGAACCTTCGGCTCATTCCAGCTTCTAGCTTTTCCTTACCATTGTACCATCACTGGTAAGATATCTCACGGTGTCCGTAAAATAGCTTTGATAGTCGCTGGACTGCTATTAGGATAACAGCTATTAGACATTCATTTATTGTGAACGAGCTTGATAGCTATTCTTTACTCTTCCTATTTTCTATTTCTTGACTGTTGTTTAAACGCTCTACTGGGTTAACCCGATTGTTACATCCACGTCATTGTTAATGGACGCTCATCGTCATGTCCTCAGCAGCGCCATTTGCAAGAACACATTCTATTGGTTTTTTCTTCTCATCACTGTTCTACTTGGTTATGTTAAAAGGAATATTTAGTTGTCACACAATTATTGTACTAGTTTTCAACTTTTGGGTCTGCATCCCTTATTCTCGTTTGTTTCGTGCCTTTTGTTTAAACGTTTCATTTCCTCATTCTGATTGGCCAGTGCCCGTCACTGTAAATGGACGTTCGCTTTACGCTTGGAGTCCAATGATGCTATTTTTAAGGACATACGTGATTCACTCTTGAGTACACGGTTGCTTATTCGTTGTTGCATTTGACGTTTTTCATTCAATTGGTTGGCTCAAGTGTACTTTAGTAGCCTCCCTTCATTTTGCCTTCAAACTATATAAGCAACTGTGATTTCATGTATAGAAGTCTCCTTCTGGCTCGTCTTGGACTTCTTCTTGCGGTCGTGGGGTGAAGACGTCAGCGGCGACAGAACAACTGCAAGCCCCCTAGCAATGTTGTTAGATCGATAACTTAATCCCGCTTACCAAACGCACTGATTTAGCATAACCTAGAACCATTGATCATGCTAAGGGAGCACGAGTTCGGTGGGGTCTTGAAGATGGACGAATCATGGTTGGCTCGCTTGGCTGAGAGAGGACAAATCGAAAAGCGGGTTGACTCTCCAGTTCCACATGATTCTCTGTGCTTAAACAAACCAATTAAGTATTTGACAGAGGCAGATAAACCGAGACCGTCATCCTTCCATGCTTCACGAAGGAACCATCACGCTGATGTGCGAGTGCCCCCCTCCCTAGATAACCCACCAAAGAATAGCGACCAGCCTTGCAGTCACCATTTGAATTTGTTACTGCTAGAACGTTGGTGGAAGACGTCCTTCGCGACCTGAAGAAACGAGCAACTCCGATCATGATTATTGCGACAATATTGAATCGTCTCGCATGGGGCTAAGCAACACAAATGGAACCACTGTTCCGCAAGCAGTATTCACTGGGTTCGTTTACTGCAGATGAGTAAATGCTGGACATTCTTTTCACTAACCGTAGTTCACTGTCACCTGCGCTCAGAATTGTTGAACTTGCCTGGGTGGCTTCTTGACAGGGACGTCTCCGACTTTCGATCAAGTAGGACACCTGGACACTGCTCTAGATCATGGTGTGGTAGAATAAGCTTTACTTAGGCGGCACATTATGATGGATGGATGTACTGACACCGGTACAAAATGGCGCCAATTTTGAGTGCACACGCTGTTTCCAAATGAAATACGAGGGTTATTCAATAAATAAGGTGAATTTTTTGGTATAAGGGTTTCTAATACCGATAGAAGAAGAAGCGAAAAATTCACCTTATTTATTGAATGACCCTCGTAGCACTGATTTGTTTAAACTAGACGTTACTTTTAGTGCCTGTTTTATTCCCTTTTCTATCTTGATGTGTAAAGTATTCACGATGAAACGAACAGCAAAACTATTTCTACGTCTACCTTTAGCGAAACCAATGGTTTATGTACGCTTGCACTGGTGACACTTTCGCTCTTGTCGTGCCGCTGAATACACGCGTTTCCGCTCCGCTCTGTTCGTTCTGGTATTCATCTTATCGGAGCATCGCCGTCGAATATGCGGTTACAATCCGGTCGTTGAGCCTCGCTTGTTATCGTTTACAGTCCGGAATCTTCGTCGGTGCCTCGAACCTACTCTACTGAACATATTACAGAGCAGTGACGCAACTAACAACCGGCAAGCACCAACGGGTGCCCTACGTGAACCGATGTTCAAATTTGCGTCTCAAGCAATGGGCTCTGTAGGTTACAACCACCTCGTCAGTCAGGTTGTGGAACCTAACGTGGCGGAAGAGAGGTGTGGATTCCGTTCGGGTTGCAGCACTATAGATATGGTGTTTGCGGATCGTCAGTTGCAGGAGAAGTGCAGAGAACGACACCAGCCGTTGTACTCGCTTTTTGTTGATTTCACCAAGGCATTTGATACGGTGAACCGCGATACATTGTGGCTGGTGCTGAGTATGTTTGGTTGCCAGCGTAAGTTTGTAAATGTAGTGGAATGTCTGCACAGAGCATACGAGCGAGGGTGCAGCCGAGTGGAGAGACCTCGGATGACTTTGCAGTTGTCTCTGATGTGAAGCAAGGCTGTATCTTAGCTCCTGCCCTGTTTAATATTTATCTACATGCAATGATGTCTTGTGCTTTTGACG